GTGTGTGTCCCTTAGAGTGACCGCTGTCCGGAGAGAGGGTCAGTGTGAGACCCTCAGAGTGACTGCTGTCCAGTGGGAGGGCCAGTGTGTGACCCTGAGAGTGACCGCCATCTGGAGGGAGGGTCAGCCTGTGTCCCTGAGAGTGACCGCTGTCCAGAGAGAGGATCAGTGTGTCCCTGAGAGTGACCGCTGTTCGGAGGGAGGGTCAGTGTGTATCCCTGAGAGTGACTGCTGTCTAGAGACATGGTAGCATGTGTCCCTGAGAGTGACCGCTGTCCAGAGAGAGGATCAGTGTGTGTCCCTGAAATTGACCAATTTGGTCATGGAAAAGATGAAAAAAAAATTCAGTTGTGTGTCAGAGCACTTCTGAATATAAAGAGAAGTAAAAAAACTTCAACAAATGAGAATTGCTCAATAGTATCAGAGATAGTAGGAGCTGCAGATGCTGGAGAATCTGAGATAACAAAGTGTAGAGCTGGATGAACACAGCAGGCCAAGAAGCATCAGAGGAGCAGGAAGGCTGACGTTTCGGGCCTAGACCCTTCTTCAGAAATGGGGGAGGGGGAGGGGAAGGGGAAGGGGATTCTGAAATAAATAGGGAGACGGGGGAGGCGGATAGAAGATGGATAGAGGGGAAGATAGGTGGAGAGGAGACAGACAGGTCAAAGAGGCGGGGATGGAGCCAGTAAAGCTGAGTGTAGGTGGGGAGGTAGGGAGGAGATAGGTCAGTCCAGGGAGGACAGACAGGTCAAGGGGGCGGGATGAGGTTAGTAGGTAGGAGATGGGGGTGGGGCTTGAGGTGGGAGGAGTGGATAGGTGGGAGGAAGGACAGGTTAGGGAGGTAGGGACAAGCTGGGCTGGTTTTGGGATGCGGTTGTGGGAAGGGAGATTTTGAAGCTTGTGAAGTCCACATTGATACCATTGGGCTGCAGGGTTCCCAAGCAAAATATGAGGTGCTGTTCGTGCAACCTTCGGGTGGCATCGTTGTGGCACTGAAGGAGGCCCAGGATGGACATGTCGTCTGAGGAGTGGGAGGGGGAGTTGAAATGGTTCGTAGTTGTTTGTTGCGAACCAAGCATACGTGTTCCGCAAAGTGGTCCCCAAGTCTCTGCTTGGTTTCCCCGATGTAGAAGAGGCCACAGCGGGAACAGCAGATGCAGTATACCATATTAGCAGATGTGCAGGTGAACATCTGCTTGATGTGGAAGATCTTCTTGTGGCCTGGGATGGGGGTGAGGGGAAAGGTGTAGGGGCAGGTGTAGCACTTCCTGTGGTTACAGGGAAAAGTGCCGGGTGTGGTGGGGCTGGAGGGGAGTGTGGAGGGGATAAGGGAGTCACGGAGAGAGCGGTCCCTCCGGAAAGCAGATAAGGGTGGGGAGGGAAAAATGTCTTTGGTGGTGGGGTCGGATTGCAGATGGCGGAAATGTTGGAGGATGATGCGTTGGATCCGGAGGTTGGTGGGGTGGTACGTGAGGACAAGGGGGATTCTGTTTTGGTTATTATTGCTGGGAGGGAGTGTGAAGGATGAGTTGCAGGAAATGCGGGAGACACGGTTGAGGGCGTTCTTGACCACTGAGGGAGTGGAAGTTGCGGTCGTTTGTTGCGAACCGAGCATAGGTGTTCTGCAAAGCGGTCCCCAAGCCTCCGCTTGGTTTCCCCGATGTAGAGGTGGTCCTTTTGTTAAAAAGGAATTATCTTTTTATACAAAAATATCTGAAAAAAAGAGAGACATGCTGTTGAAGCTTTTCATCTTGCAATCATCAGGACTGAATTGCAAGGATACCAAATCTCAAAGGGAGCACCAATTTAAACTACATGAGAAGAGAGCGCTGATTGACTCTGTGTCCTAATCCAATCCTCGCTCACCCTGTACCTCAAAGTCAGGAATGGGACTAAGGCTACTAATTGCATTCCTGGAAAGTGACAGGTCTGTCACAGATTACGTCAGAAAAGTAAGATGGCTCAATAATTTGAGTAACAGACAAAGTTAGCTGTTGTGTATGTAGTAGCAACATGAATGATGTTCTGGATAGCTGGTTTGCAATATAGAGTGATGCCAATAGCCTGAGTTCCATTTCCACACCGACTGAGATTACCAAAAGGACTCTCCTCAGCCTAAACCACCAATTATCTCTCATGAGAGAGCAATGCTATGGTCCTCTTGGACTATGGCATCTTTACCTCTATCCTTATTCTCCACTGACAGGATACAGCTGTGAAGCTGAAATTTCAGCACAGGAAGATGTTAATCAGACAGTACTTTTAAACTGTTCGCAACAGGCGAACTACTGACCATATCCAACTAGCCCATGCTTACATGATGTCCAATACTAGGTGTTATTCACAATTGGATAACACTTGTTAAATAATCATGTTTGTGCTAAGAATTACACTTACAACCAGTTTAAGGTTATCGGTTGGGATTGCAATGTAGGTCATATGCATGCAAGAAACTATATATATTCAGCAGGTCTCTGAATTTTGTGAACAGATTACATATCCACACATTGCATTTTCTTCAATGAAATAAAAGCTTAGGGGACAGTGATTCCCTGGACTATTCCCATGGCAATGCCTTGACAAATCGGAGGCAAATTCCCTGGATTGAATTTAAACGAAGCATGCTCGTTAAATGTTTCTGGTTCATTCTCTATGACCATGCCTCTATCAATCAGAGGCCAATTGACAACAATCAATATCCTTGTCTTGTGCAGTAGAAATTGGTGATCCCTCATGATTCTGTCTTGAGGTGTGCAAAATGAAAAGCTTCAACTTTTTCAGCAATAATCAAGTTCTATACTAGCAAGTGACAATAAATATTTCTGTTCTAATTATGAACGTTTTTATATTATGTTCAAACTATTAAAAATTAACAAGAAACATTCTAAATTGAAAGGCTTAAGTGTCTTTTCTAATTTGTTTCATTTGTTCAAAAACATGATTCATGGTGTTGCTTAGTGGATAAGTGTAACGCCTCTCCTGAACTTAAATAGCATTTTACAGTCTGTCTTTGACCTAGCAGTACTTCTCTGAATGATGATTCAATGGCTTACATTTATCTTCCAAACACTCCATGCACCTCTCTTTCCCCCAGATTTTCAGCTTCCAGCTGCACATGGTCTGCTTGGCTTTCTGTACATCATATCTCTCTTTTAAACATTGCAGAATTTCTTGCAGTTTGTTCTTGGTCTCCAGTAAATCTTTCTCTGTAGTGAGCTGTGGTAAGCTATATTTGCAGTTTAGTAATTTGCTGCCTGCAGTCAGCACCTCCAGTCTTTTTCAGATTCTTCCATTTGAACCATGAATCTTGAGGTTTTCATCCAAGGTTCAATTTCTCCGTCTCAGATACCTCAGCTGCCTGTATGAATGCATTTCTTTTGTGTCTGCTCCCTTTCAGCGTCATCTTTCAGTTTCCCTGGTCAGTGGTGGTTTTCTTCAATTCTAACTTTTCATTTCAGAGTGCTGAAAGTTTTTGGAAGTCGTCCTCTTTAGCTGCTTGATCTTTCCGAATTGGCCGTCTTTCCCTTTCTAGCAAGAGCTCTTTGTGCTTTTTTCAGTATTGATCTTGAGACTTTCAATCTCTGACTGCAACCTGTTCATTTGGCTTTGCATGTTATCTCTCCCAATGATAGAACTTACTTGATCTGGGCTCTGTGACTCTGGCAATCACTCCCTTGTTCCTGATGGGAGGGTGCTTTTCAATGGGAATACTTTCAACATCAATGACAAATCCTTCATCTCATGATTTAATCAGATCAGCTGCAGTTTTTCCCAATCAACCAACCCCAGAATAGCAGGACCATCTGTTTCAATGACATGCAGTTTAAATCTTTTCACTTGTGTGTCCATGTGATTTGGCTTGCTCCTAACTGTTGAATCTCAGTTC